CCTTGTGGTGTCCACGTCAAAATCTGTTTTGGAATCCTGTCACCTGCATTCTCTGTACATGGCCGTACCATATTAACTGTTTTGTTTTTATGTCATCAACTATTGTATGCTTGACTCCCATCATTTCTCGTATTCTCTCATTTGGTATCCGATCTCTTCTTGATTTGCCTGCTGCTCTTCTCCAGAAGTCCATTTCTGTTGCTAGTAACAGTTTCTCTGTTCTTTGTTTCATTGGCCAAACTTCACTGCCATATGTGATTACACTTTTAAGTATGGTGTTGTATATGAGTTGTTTGTTCGCTTTAGATATTGTTTGGTCCCACAGAATGCCGTTCATCATGGATATGGCTTTTCTACCCTGTATGTTTCTGTCTTTTATAGCAGCATCGAGTGTTCCATCTTGAGTTATCTTCATACCCAAGTACTTGTATTCATCACAGTTTCTAATTTCTACCCCATCGTCTAATATAATGGACTGTTTTGTCCCTCCAATACACATGGCTTCAGTTTTCTTAATGTTGACTTCGAGACCCCATTTGTTATATTCTTCTATTAGCTTCCGAGTCATGTAACTCAAGTCGTCATGATCCTGGGCAATCAGTATTTGGTCATCAGCGAAACATAAGGTGTACAGTGTAGTCTCGTCATTGAGAGGGATTCCCATGCCATTACATTTTCTTTTCCATAGCTTGAGTGCTTGTTCCAGATAAATTTTGAAAAGGGTAGGCGAAATACAGCAACCCTGCTTTAGTCCTTTCGTGACCTTAAATCCTTCAGATATCCTTGATCCAGTTTTAATTTTTGCAGTCGTTCCATTATACAGACTTTGGACTGCTTTGATAAGACCATGCTTAATGTTGGTTTGCTGTAGGGTTGACCATAGTTTACTTAGGGGTACACTGTCATATGCTTTTTGTAAGTCTACGTACACCAGGTGAACTTCTTTATTGAAGGCTGTTTTTTTCTCAATAACTTGCGTAATAGAGTACAGGTGGTCTACTGTGGATCGCCCAGCTCTAAAACCAGCTTGCTCCTCTGCTTCGTAATCTCTATAGTCATTTTCTATTTTGTTTTTAATAAGTTTCCCATACATCCTACTTATTGTGCTGTTTACCGCAATTCCTCTGTAATTTTCACACTGATCCTTGCTGCCCTTTTTGTGGATAGTTGACATGATAGATAATTTCCATTCTTTTGGTAATTCGGCCCCATTCAAGCAGTCTTGAAAGAGTTTTCTTAACTGTTCCTGGAGTTTGTCTGTACAGGCTTTCACTAATTCTGTAGGGATGTCACCGGGACCAGGGGATTTTCCATTTTTCCCGCTATATGGCTGATATGCCCGCTATTGTTCTTAATACTTTCATTTGTTTTCTCTGCATATGTTAGGATTGGTCTTACTGTTGTCTTGTATTCTTTCATTTTGCTTTCCGTGATCAGATATTTGTTTCTCCATATGGTTTGTCGGATGCAACCACTTACTCTTGCCGCTTTTGATGCTTGCCTTGTGGTATCTGTTCTTATATCCCTGTCACTAGTGATCTCTACTCCTAGGTAATTGAATTTCATTACTTGTTCTACAATTTTACCGTCTATTTCTAGTTTGCGTCTACGCGGCTATTTACTGATCACTATACATTTAGTTTTTTCTACTGATATTCTCATATTAAGTTTGTTTGCTGTGATATGTGTAAATCTCCGTTCCGTATTTTTACTCTCCCGCACACTTTTTTTCTTATTTAAATCCATTTTTTTTCCAAAATCGAGGTACCAATTCTACGTTGTCCGGGCTAATTTCAACCAGCAATTTGGAGAGAGTTTCCAAAAATTATACTTGTATCATATTTTTAGAGTTGAAGTTTTAGACCATGGATGCATTTTCTTTTTAATGGGTTATCGAACATTTTTGAGATCCTCTTTAGCAACTAGAACACCCTTTACAAACTATTAATTATAGCTTCACACTTTTAACAAAGTAGGTTTAAACTGTAGATAATGCTTATTATATATTACCACATAAGTAGGTAGGTACCCTTCAAGAAGGACTGAATTTTTCAATGACCTCTAAATCTTTACTACTTAAAAAATGTTAATTTGAACACAGACGATATAAAAATTTAAACATTAAATTGTACAACTTTTTTCTAACATGTTTTGTTTTAAAAAACAGCTCGAAGAACCAATGTTTAAATTGCCAATATATTAGTTCATCAATACAGTAAGTCAGCTTCTTTAAAACTTACTGTTTTCATGAGAAGGTTACATGAGAAGATGGCGTTCAAAAATGGATTTGTCACAACTAGAAAAATGTTCAGAAAATCAAAAAAACTATTTCTTTATTTTCCATGTTTGTGGTTATGACAATTTTTTTTCTAATGATAGATTAATAGTTTTGGACACTAAAAATAAATATAAAAGTAAAATATTATGTGCTTATGTTATAAAAAAAATAGGTTTTTTCAATAGACTAAACGCGTTTTGATCGACCGTATGGACCAAACTTCTTTTGAATAAACTCTATAAGGACTAATCCTCTTTTCATTGATCATGTAGATAGGTATAGGTCAAAAAATGAACTTACAAAACAATAAATTTGATATAAACAGCATACCTTTATGACTTATAAGTATAAAATCAAAAGTTAAATATATAAAATTCAAAACTCAAACGTGCATCCCAACATCTTCCTCTAGACAGTCACAGTATTCTTCATCATGGTCAGCTTCTTTTATTCCAGGGACGTTGTTAGAAACGATAAGAAGATACCGATATAGTGTTTGATCGTCCTTCCATTCTTCCCCAAAGATCTGCGTCAAAAGCTTGTCAACATCATTCTTTTTGGCTGGAGGTATGCTGTGACCGAGTGGCAACTCATCTATCTTTAATAAGACCATTTTTTAGCAGGCCAACCTTTCTTTTGAAGAGATTTCCATGCCTCCGTCTCACATTCAAACACAAAGTTCATTAGGTCTCTGACCAAGAGTTTAGTTTATCGATTAACAACTTCTCTTTTTATGAAAATTCTCTTGCAGTCTGAGATACCGTCCAGACGCCTAAAGCAGCCTTTTTCTGTTGATGAAAGACTTTTGGTGTCAAACAGTTTCCAATCTTCTCCCAGTAGTTTTACTTTTCCAACTGATTTGTATACATCGATGTAGGTTTCTTTGTGATGATAGTTGGCTGTTTATGCAACAATTTTTCCACTCGTCCAAACACTCGGTCGGCAGGAAGAAAGCTGTGTCCTCTCACCGGAAATGTAATTCTGATGTCTGTTACTTTGGACTTAGTTTTAATCAAAACAGCATAAGTGTATGCAAAACGAAATTGTTTTTATTTTGAGCACCACACCCATCACAAAAAAGTCTGATTGATGTAATCATTTTCATGTAGATCAAGGCTTTGAAGGTGTTGCAAAAGAGCTGAAGAGACCTCAGTAGAACCTTTTCAGCTTCATCTTCTGTTCACATATAAAATGTCGGGTTCGTTCCGTCAATTCCAACAACACAGAAACAGTATAATTCAATTTGCCTAGAGTAATATGCTTCTTGAATCGGTGATATTATTAACGGTTGAATCTGCTGTAAGTTGAAGCACATATTGAGTGAACCAGACTCTTCTTTTTTCATAGCCTTATAAAAATCTGCTACACGAATCGTGTGAACTGGCTTGTTGGTCATGTACTCAATCTTCTTAGCAGGATCCTTTGTGGTTTTGATGAAATGTTTCATTTTGTAGCAGTAACTAGACACATCAGACGCTGGGGAACGAAATCCATTATTAAAGGTTTGAAAAATTCTTCGAAACATCGTTTTTGATACTTTGTTCGAGATTTCATCTTGTAAATTATTATACATTTTCCATACTTTTGTGATGTTCATGTTCTGATCCAAATAGATGCGCTTTGATTTTTTATGAAATCTCTTACACGCGCCTTTTTGTCAGCTGTCTTCGCTGATTTGCGGCCGCCCCCCCTATTCTCATTTAGATGTTCGCCCTTACGAATACATTTTATAATGTTACTTAATCTGGTAGGTTTGACTATCATCACTGGCATAAAAAACTTCTTACATACCTTGATAATTTTTGTGTTTTGCTTAATCAAAGTGTACTCAACAGAACAAGAGTTAGGCCGTGCCTCGTTGCTTATATTTCGTGCCTTCTTCTTTTGATGTTTTGAAGGGACACATGACTTGAAATGAAGTTGTCCTGAGCAGTTTTATTGGTCACAGATAGCAAGTTTTTCCTCACATGAGAACAATCACTGGGAGTAAAGCTTTTACACGAAAACCTTTTAGAGGAATGTGAGCACGGGTTGAAGGTATTGTAACCTTTAGGTTGGGTTAGTCTTTTCTTCTTTGCCAATTCTCTCTTTCGTGGATTTATAGTCCTCTTTCCTAGAGCCATTATTTCCATCACTTACAAAAGAGTCATCAATAACTTCACTCATCCTAATTAATATTAAATTAAACACTACTAGCTCTGCGACACGGTAACAATGAAGCTGAACAAAACATTGTGAAAACTCCTAACCTCAAACAACAGAGCATCATGGGTAGGGCGAATGCTGTCCTGTGATTGGCTGGTTGTGACTAAACCTTTTCTGATTAACTACTTATGGTGGACAAAACTTGTTTTGTTCCGCTACCTATATTTCATATGTGAAAAACCATACGACAAAATTCGTTTTGATCAAACTTTTATTTACTAACATGTGGGGTTCAAAATAAATTTTCAAATGACACCAAAGTCTCAACGTGTGATTTATTGTAACAAATCCTTTTTTAGCGCCACCTCCTCATATGTCGTCTAGATAAAAGAGTTCTGAATATACCAGGGTAAAATAAGAAGTCTATCCGGTGTTGATAAAGAGATGATATATAGCAGATCTTCCATAAAATATCGGTGTAGAACAGAAAACTTACAGAGAAAAAGACCCAGTGTATCCTGCGCGGTATAGACACCGTGTTTAAGTGATATGGTTTTATTATAATATTGTTTTTTAGGCCACCGCAACCCTAGAACGCCACTTGGTAATCTCAGCTGAATCGTACTCCATGGAAAGGATCAAACAATTATCCAACGACACCAATACGTTCGGTACTTTCGGTCAACAACGAGAAGTAGAACTTCCCACCGCTAGAGGGTCCTTGAAGCTTTACGTTGAAGAGAGACAGGACAATAGTACGTACTGTATAAATGTAGAAGTGACTAGAAGAAGGCGTTATGTGATGTTTATATTTTGAGATATTGACAAAATTGCTTATTATGATCTAAAATAATCACTTGATGTATTAATGAAATGCTGTATGAAAGCATTCAAAATATAATGTTTTTATTGAGTCTTAAACCACAAGAAATCATTTAACTGTAGAATTTAATACCTCAAAACTTATACAACCTCCCCTAACACCTTCTTCGGTGCGCTTTTTTAAAAACGTTAAAATTTAAGTTTCGTTATTATTTTTGTTTATTTTTGTTAATATATTATTTTTTGTTGATATTTGTAGCTGATGATCCGCAATCTGAAAACACATGTAAGTTAAATAATCGCAAAATTTTGGATTGTGCTTCTGTAAATTTTCGCTAAACCTTCGACGTTTATCTAAAATTTAATTCATAATAATAAACATTTCCTGCAAATCTATTATTGCTAGAACGAATTATACATGAGTAAAATGATTTACATATTTGCTAGATATCAAACTTAAGTATGCAGTGTGTGTGAGGCCAAGTTAATTAATTTGGTTACAAATAAATGGTGGTGCTTGGTGTATTTTTTGTTACACATTTTGTCGTGAAAAACTTTTTATACGGCGTAATGTAACAGTTCAAGCGATCACAATGTCTAAGCACTGCTAGCCTGTGACGCAATGTTATCGCTCTTTCGTTTAAGAGTACGCGTTGCGAGCCTGAGGTAGTCAAAGCTCACGTACGATGTTGCACCGATGATCATAATATCCATCACGTGAGCGTTGCGCTCCTTGTCTCAGTCATTGCCACCTCTATGCTTCCTCACTGCTGCTCGCTCACTTTGTTGTCAATTAATAGTCGTGCGGGTAACTGCCAGCGGTTCTTTAGATCCTGCCGACGCGATGTAGGGTACGTTATAAAATTTGATTGTTTTACCCTTTAATACGCTAAACATGGTTAAAAAAAAGAAAGACTGTAGAATAAATAGAGGATTTAATGAAGCATTTTATTAAGAATGCCAAAAGGAAAAGAGTTGTTAACCACAATAAAAATAGCCAAAATTGAATACCTCGGTCACATCATGAGAAACAGCGAAAGATATAGGATGCTGCAAATAATTCTACAAGGAAAAGTAGAAGGAACACGAGGACCAGGAAGGCGGAAGATTTCCTGGCTGAAAAATCTGCGTACGTGGTTCAACACAACAACCACAAATCTTTTCAGAGCAGCAGTTTGCAAAATACAGATTGCCATGATGGTTGCCAAAATCCGAAACGGATATGCACTAGTTACTAGTTACTAGTCATTAGGCACTAGATAGAAAAACCGTTATGCTTAATTTGTCAAAAGAGTAGTTATGTAGCAAAGGAGTATAACCTGAAGTGACATAACGATACTAGGGGGCGTTCAAGTATTATGAAAGGTATTTTTTAAAGATTTTTGACACCCTTCCCCCATGTAACGCACTATAACGTTTTACCAGACTTCCTCGAGAAGTGGTAAAAACTTGCATAATCCTTTATTTAACTAAGTACCACGAACTTAATTGGGATTTAAAGGTTTGGGCAGGCTGACTGCAGGAAATCCGGAAAAATATATTTCAATGCTCTTCTCGAGTGGCAACAGTAATTTTCATCTGCGCATTTATTCACTTGCAAAAATCTTGTGATTTACGGATGTAAGTGGTATACTATGCCAGATTAAGTTCTGCTGGATCCCGAAAACTATCTTTAGATCTTCTGTATTTCGCCTAAACATCGTAGTTGTCAATTTTCACGTTTTTTTTCCAATTTTGATGACATTACAGTATGAATTCAATTTAACAACACTGACGACAGCAAAGTATTTCTGTGTATTACTGGCAACGAAAACATACAAAAATCAAAAAGATATGCAATCCAGTCGAAGAATTTCCCATAAACATAAACAAAAGGAACAAAATAACAGTATTGCACAATCATCAATCAGCAAATCGCGTCCACTGCTGGACATAGGCCTCCCTCAGTTCTTTCCAGTGTTCTCTACACTGGGCCGCTTGTAGCCAGTTTCTCGCTACACGTTTTATATCATCGATCCATCTAGTCGGTGGTCGTCCTCGGCTTCTTTTATGGTTTCTGGGCCTCCATTCCATAATACGTCTTGTCCACCGTCCATCTTGTGTTCTGGCTAAGTGCCCAATTCCACTTAAGCGTCGTGGTTCTTTCGATAACGTATTGAACTCCTAATCTTTGCCTGATTTGTTGGTTTGTTATGTGTACTCGAAGGTTCACGTTCAGCATTGCACGTTCCATGGCTCGTTGTGTAACTCTGAGTTTATTCATCGCAGTTTTTGCGTGAGTGTTAAAGTCTCTGCTCCTTAAGTTTGTACAGGCAAAACACATTGGTTATAAACCTGTCGTTTGAGACAGATGGGAAATGAACTTTTTAGAGTATGGCTCAATTTGCCAAATGCTGCCTATGTCAGGCCTATTCGCCTCTGTATTTCATATGTTTGATTGTCTCTGCTTATTTTGATCTCATGTCCCAGATATTTTGTAGATGTCTGTTTGTTGTATGGTATTATTGTCAATAGTTATATTTCCACTCATTACGAGATTTGTCATAAGTTTAGTTTTCTCAAAGTTTATATTTAATCCTGTTCTTCAGACACTTTTAAGAATGTATCATAAAACTGTATCCTGTAAGTATCTGCGATTATACAACATCATCTGCAACCTAGATGATTTAATCTTTCTCCATATATTGTGCCATTGACTGTTCTTAATATGAGCTACGTGAACATTTTGGTGAATATGTCTCTTGTCTACTCTCGACTAAGCTGATTTTCTGTGTTTCGTGTAGTCGTATACTTGATGTAGCGTTCTCGTAGATGTTTTTGATTAGTGTCGTGTATCTGTAATCTATTTGGCTTTAATTTAGGGCTTCCAGTACTGTTTTAAACTCTACAGAATCAAAAGCCTTCTCGTAATCGACAAATGCAAGAACCAGTGGTATGTTGTACTCGATGCACTTTTCTATTAATATCTTTATGGTATGCAAATGGTCATTTGTGCCATATCCTGCCCTGAAGCCTGCCTGTTCTTTGGGCTAATAGAAATCAAGTTTAGGTGTTAGTTTCTTTGTTAAGATTTTCATAAAGAGTTTGTACATATGTGTCAAGAGGCTGATGGGTCTATAATTTTCTAATTTAGTAATATCGTCTTTTTTGTGTAACTAGACTATCACTGCATTGTTCCAGTCTTTTGGAATCGTACCCGCTTGTAAGTATTTATTAAACAGTTCGCTTACTGATTTTAATAGAATTTCTCCTCCTGCTTTAATTGTCTCAATAACGAGTCCATCATCACCAGGCGATCGATGGTTCTTCATTTCCTTTAAAGCTGCTCTTACTTCTGACACAGTAATGGTAAAAGTATTTCCGATCCCTGATTTATGAGAGTCTTTACTCGTGTCGGGAAATCTTGTGGTCTTTCCCCTGGTATAGAGGTCTTTATAAAACTCTCTGGTTATTTTCAGAATGTTTTGTTTATCTGCTGTTGCCTTTCTCTTTTTATCTCTTAGCTTGTATATTTCTTTTTTACTTTGTGTGAGTTTTCTTTTCATTACCTTTAAACCTTTGTTCTCTTCTACTGTTTGAGTACAATTGCACATTGCACAATAGTATTGAGGAGTTCTTCATAAAACATAAACCAAAGAATTGCTAACATGAGAGTTTAATTCCATAGTTTAAAAAAAATGTTACGTAACCCTTTGATCCAAACCCCCTCGCTCCCTGTAATGCACCGTTACGGTTACAACTTCCCTTCCCCCTAATTGCATTACGTAATACTTGAACGAAGAATTGTGAAAAACTAAAATATCTAGTTTTACACCCTTATTAAAAAATCAACAAAACGTCTCCAAGATTGTGGTAGACAATAATAAAGAACGTGTTCGTGCTAGCTTCAGGATAGTAGAAATGGCTATACAGAGTATATATCTGTGGACACAATACAGAGAGATAAGTTGATGAAAGCATTAGAAACTAAAGAATTTGACAGAAATGACACTATGAAGAAATAAATGAAATGAAAATGTTAAAGTTTTATGGAGAAATGACAGGAAAGTTTAACACAGATCAAGGAGAAAAACAGTGAAAACGTATTTCTCCAAGAAAAGTAGTACATTTAACAAGATTTAAAATGAAAATTATGAGAACAATCCCGAGAAAGAAGATAAAAAAAAACAAAGGCAACTGAAAAGAGTAAAGAAACGTACCAACAATTCAACGACAAAGCCAAGCGAAATCAGGAACAAGATGGTGGGATAGCATGGACAACGACATAAAAATCATGAAATGAAAAGAGAAAATATAAAGTACCTAATGGAGACAGAAAACGGATAAAAGTGTAACCAAAACATAGATTCATATGCGAAAACAGTAATTTGAAAGGATTGAACGGCGACCATAAAGATGACATAAATTTACAAAACTGATTTAAAACAATTACCATGACTTCAAAATAATGTTGATATAATCAGCAAGTCATAAATTACTAGTATTTTAAAAAATTAGGACATTCGGTAAATTGCAGTAAGACATTTTTTATGAAGATTACAAATAATTTATCACTCAAATCACTAGTATATGTTTTAAATACGTTAAACTAATTGTTTTCATATCTTGACAACACTTAATCACTTCTGCCATTGTTTAACAATGCTTCTACCGTGCACTAAAAATGATCGGAGGCAGTGGCACTGTATTTTTTCACCAACACATTCTTTTCATATGTTTTACTTCTTTTTGGGTATACCACCTTATTGTCAGTCCTTTTTTATGTATTTGTACGGCATAATGTTTAAACGATGTTGGTGTGTAAAAGCTATTATGAATTTTTACAAAATTAAATAACATTTTAACATAAATAACAATAATAACATAAATTAACATAATAACATTTCTAAGAAATGTTAAGTTTTTGCCAGAAGACGAATTAATTAATGTTTTGACATCAATAGACATTTCCATAAAGAAAGCTGAGCAACTATTTAGAATAGCTCGAGACAGAGACAGTTTCGCCATGTTAATCGCCAACGTCAAGGGGACTTGATAGGGCACGTTAAGAAGAAGAAGACATTTCCGAAAAATCCTGCAGCTGTACAAAAACTTTGCATATATTTTGAATTTATGAAATTTTTTAAATGAATATGTATAGATATATGTTCCGCAGTTAGACAATTAACCTAAGATAGTAATACTATTAGAAGAATTAATATTAAATCAACAGCTTCCGAGTTGAACCACGTCGATTATCACTGCGCCGAACTTTAGACATCCTCTCGGATGTCTTCTTTAGGGCGTCCGAGGTCTTAGTCTCCATGCTCCCAGACACTAATACACTTCTTCTTCAGGTGCCATCTCCGCTACGGAGGTTGGCAGTCATCATAGCTATTTGAATTTTTGAGGCAGTAGCTCTAAATAGTTGTTTTGAGCTGCATCCAAACCAGTCTCTCAGGTTCTTAAGCCATGAAATTGGTCTTCTTCCGATGCTTCGTCTGCCATATATCTTTCCTTGCATTATGAGTCGCAGGATGCCATACTTCTCGCCCCGCATCACATGTCCGAGATACTGTAGCTTTCTTTCTTTAATTGTAAGTTCAACTTCCTTCTCTTTACCTATTCTTCTCAGTACTTCATTGTTCGTAACTCTATGTACCCAGGAAACCCTCATAATTCTTCTATAGATCCACATTTCAAAGGCATTAAGTCGTCTCATTGTGTCTAGATTTAACGTCCATTATTCCACTCCACAGTATAGTACACTGTATACGTAACATTTTGTTAGGCGTACTTTAAGAGCTAATGTTAAATTTGCCACAAATTACCTTTTTCATTTTCATAAAATTAGAACGTGCTTTTTCGATTCTGACCTTGATTTCTGCAGTGTAGTCATTATTTTCTGTTATAAGTGTTCCTAGGTAAGTGTACTTTTTTACTTTTTCGATCTGCTGGCCCTCTACTATCAAGATTTCGTTAGTATTATGGTTGGTTTTACAAATTTTCATAAACTTCGTCTTTTTGATATTGAGCAAGAGTCCGTACTCCCTACTACAAATTACTTTTGTACTTATGAGTCTTTCCAGGTCTTGTAAACTATCGGCTATTATTACTGTATCATCTGCATATCTGATATTGTTAACTAAGACTCCATTTACCTACTTTTATGCCGACTGTTTCATCTTCCAGAGTTTCTCGAGTTACCTCTTCAGAATAAGCGTTAAATAATAGAGGTGATGATAAGCAGCCTTGCCTGACTCCTCTCTTTATTTCCATTTCTTCAGATGTCTCTTTTTCAATTCGTACTATTGCTCGCTGATTGTAATAAAGGTGTGTTATTAGCTCTAAATCTCTTTCATCTAGGTTTTTATTTTTTAGAATTTCCATGAGTCGGTCATGTTTTACTTTATCAAACGCTTTATTGTAGTCTATAAAACAGACGTAAAGAGGACGGGTAACATCCAAACATCTCTGCGTCAGTACGTTGAAGGAGAATAATGCCTCTCTGGTACCCATACCATTGCGTAACCTATATTGTGTGTCAATAATATCCAGCTCCAGTTTAGAGTGAATTCTGGCGTGGATAATTTTCCACAGAATTTTCAAGGTATGTGACATTAAGCTTATGGTTCGATAGTCACTGCACTCTTTGGCATTCACTTTCTTTGGCAAACACACAAATGCTGATGTCAACATTTCTCTACGGATGATTCCCGTAGTATAGATAGCGTTGAACAGTTCTACTATTATATCCAGGTTTTTCTGGTTGACCGGCTTTAATAGCTCGCTTGGTAATTCATCTGGACCAGCAGATTTATTGGTTTTCATTGAGTTTAATGCCTGACTAACCTCTAATTTGTTTACCTCTTGGCTTACATATTCCGTTTGGCTATCTACAGGTGTACTAGCTTCCCTCTGGTCATGAAATAATTCCTCGATGTACTCTTTCAATCGTCGTGGTTTTTGTTCTATCTCCAATATAATTATTCCATTTTTATCGAGCAATATATTTGAGGTTCTTCTATTTCCTACTCCAGCTAGTTCTTTGACTTTTTTATGTAGATTAAAGTTGTCATATCTGTTTTGCAGTTCTTCTATTTCTTTACATTTTTCAGAGAAGTAGGTTTCTTTAGCCTCCCTAATTTTTTTCTTATTTGTTTTGAAGCTGTTTATAGCGGATCGTATTGATGGTTTTGTTTTTTCTCCTTTCATTCATCAACTCTAGAATTTCCTCGGTCATCCACTCTTTTTTCTTACATTTGGTTGTTGTAAATACTTTCTTACTTGGCTCCAATATAGAGGTTTTGAAGAATTGCCACTGCTGCTCTACGTTGCAATTATTTCTTGGGTTTGTATCTAGATTTGTATTGATTTCGTGTTTCAGATTTTCTTTTGTTTCTTCTGACTTTAGTTTCTGTATGTTAAGTTTATTGTTGTTGCGGCTTTTTGCATCTTTTTTAGTTGAAGTTGAAACCTAGCAATAAGAAGACTGTAATCAGAGGATACGTCTGCTCCTGGATATGCCTTTACTGCCTGAATTAAGTTTCGATATCTGTGTTTTATTAGGATGTAGTCAATTTGATTTCTGACGATTGTGTTGTCTTTGTCAGCTAGCGATTTCCATGTATAAAGGCGTCACTTAGGTAATTTAAAAATTGTATTTTCGGCTATAACATTATGCTCCTGGCAAAATTCTATTAGGCGATCTCCTCTGTCGTTTTGTTCACCAATCCCATATGGTCCTACATTAGGGTAGCATTTTCCTTCGCCAATTTTTGCATTGAAATCACTCATGATCACTGTTATATCTCTAGATGCTGTGAGATGTTATGTTTTTTGAAGTTCGCTATAAAAGCTTTCTATTTCTTCTTCATTTTTGTTAGCAGTTGGCGCATAAATCTGAATTAAGTTCATTTTTACATTGGTTGTCAATAGCTGCAGCAATATAATTCTTTCGGACATCGGAACGTTACTGATCTCGTTACTTTTTCACTGAGGATAATAGCAACTCCATATCTGTGTTGGGTGTCGCTGCTTCCAGAGTAATAAATTCGTCCATTGTCTGTATTGAGTTCACCAGAGCTGACCCATCTTATATCGCTTACTTAATTCCTAATATATCGATCTCCAGTCGCATCATCTCTTGTTGTATATTCCTCAGTTTCCCAGGTTCATACATACGTCGTACATTCCATGTAGCGATTTTGCAGATGGATTTGTATATATTTAGTGAATAGGGATTTCGCTGTCTAACAGCTTGTGTTGTCGTTACTATTTTTTTCTTCCCCTGTCGAATCTTGGCAACCGAGAACCATGATTAGTAGGTTGTTGATTGTCATTTCTATAAGCCATGACAATTTCTAGGGATACTCCATGAGTCTTTAATGTAGTGGTTCCCCGGTACCTTCTGCATTCTTCTGCCGTTGACCAATTTATTGGTTCTTCCGCCTTTGGAGTCCATTTCTCACCTCCAGGACAAAAGAGTGTCCTACTACCTACCGACTCATCCGCCCGAAGCCGTTGGTCGGTAAGCAGGAGATTGCTTATACCGGCAATCATTCGGTGAGTTACCTGTTGGTCCACGGTAGGTATTTTATATCCCTCTTAAGGTCGATTCAAACACATCAGTCACGACTCGTCACAGTCCCGACGCCGAACCTAACAATCCGTCATGCAAAATATTCTTTAATAGAAATATGGCGCCGGCATTCACATTCATCAGGCGACGAACAGTTTCCCAGCTGTCAGATAATTTATAGTTCTGTGACCAAACAGGATCGCTTCGGCGCCGGGACTGTGACGGGACTGATGTGTTTGAATCGACCTTAACCCACCGGTAAAACGGGTCGATCGTTCCCCTATCCGCCACCTGGGGACGCTCTCTCTAGGAGTTACAGGTTCTCCCAAAAGACTAATACACTGATCACTAATAAATACACCAAAGCAGTACAAACGTTGCAAACATCAAATTTTAAATCTTCATAGTGCAAATTTTGCAGCTTTCCAGTTTTTGTATAATTTGGACCATCCATTTAAGAGATAATTAGACGTTTCCAGATTTTTGGTGCACTCTGTATAACGAATTAGAGAAATTTATTTTTAGAATATTAAAAATTCTTAATCAGTCAAAGCTTAATATTATATTTTTGTATAAAAATATTGCTCCTAGCATCGTTTAAATATTGTGGCAAATTCAAATGTAATGACAGTAGATCCGGTCCTAACTATAAAAACTTTTTCAGCCTTCATCATTGTATGGAAGGGCGAGAAAATCCCAGTTTTCCGACCAAACGTCGAATGCACCAACGGCATCATCCACGTCATAGACGCCCCGTTTTTGAAGGAGAGCGACATCCAAGTGAGCGGCGCCGGCTTCGTCGCATCCCAGATAGCCATGACTGTCATTTCCATACTGATCCTGGTTTAAGCGGCATGTTAGCCAGGGATTAGTTGTAAGTTTTGCGTCGTACAGGGTTTTTGTAAAGAGTTGTTGGGAGAATGTGGTTGAGACGTTTTTATGAAACGAGTTATAGTTTGTAATAACATTGGACGTTGTCGAAAATACTGGGTGAGTTAGGTAAAAACATGGATGAGGTGACATTTGTTTATATTTTGAGATATTTGGAAAAAAATGGCATTTGTGTGAAGAATTTTAAGTTCTAAAATAATTATTGACGGCTTGTATCGAGTAGCTTTTAAATTGTTCGATTTATCAAAGATATAGCAAACATGGATTCATAGCTCAAAATATATGACAAGTTGTCACTGGACTTTATTCGTTTTTTTTATTTATTATTTAAGATTAAAGAACATTTTACTATTAACAATTGCAAATACTTAATTATTCTGATGAGTTAGTCCGATCTAAATTAAACATCTCTAAATTCCGTGCGGAATAGGACTGTTATCAATCCGGTTTGATTGAATACGCCTCAAATACTATTTTTAACCGGTCTTCAATCAGGAGAAATGGCCTGCCATACAAACACTGTTATCACTTAATTAATATCTTGTCTATTTAACAGTTCAAATGGTACAAAGGGCATCTATCTTGGATTTGTGTTTAATCTCCAAAGCTTGGAATATAAATGTGGTTTAGATGGCATATTTGAGTAAAGTAGTACCATAATCATCACTATCTACTGCACCATTTGAAATAAACAGTTAAATTACACCACTTAGTAATATTTATCCCTCAGTTATAACATCCTTGGGACAATTGTGATATCGTGAGTTGATCAAGAATGAGACTGTAAATTTTAATTGATATAATTACTACAACATGCGAAATATGAAATACCATACTTTTATAAGGTTCTATTCAATTAATGTTGCCTACATTGCGTGTGCTATGGTCCAAAACAAGAGGTTATAACAAATAAAAGATACACAATCATTTAAAAGCCAATGTAATGCAAAATTGGAAAATATTTTACCAACCATGGGCACTCATGATGGCAAAGTAATCTTCGAAAAATACCTTGGAAAAATCTTGACTGACTGTGGCAGTGTACAGACGGATTTGGGTAAGATTATAGATGTTTGGAGGGGGTATTGAATCAGATGCCTACGGACTTCCATCCTATGTATCCTACACTTCTAAGAAGATGATCCTACGCTTCTAGCCTCTACAAGAAATTACTAACTACAGTGCTAGGTTTGGACTTATGGTTAACTACAACAAAACCAAAATCATTTTTATTGATCGCTAACAACACTATCCTGAAACCCGAACCTGATAATGATTAGGTATACTTTTTATATTCTCCACATTTCTCTATGCCTTTTTTTCTCTCTGTATCTTTCTTTCTTCATATATCTCTGTAGATCACTTAATCTTTCTCCAACCTCCAATTTAGTCTTTTTATATCTCTCTATATTTCTCTTTCTATTAAATTGGCTGTTAAGATACTATCATCAAGCAAATGATTAATTTTCTCACATTCAAGGAAAATTTTTATAGAAGATAGATCTTATACTTATGAAAACTGTCTCTGTATGTTTATTTCGTTCTATAAATCCCCCTCCGTCCCCTATATTTAGTCCCTCCAGTTTATAGGTCACTCACTCTCTTTTATATCTACCTTATCTCTTTATATTATATCTCTTAAACTGAAAATGGTTTCCCTTTAAACTCCTCATCTGTTGTTTTCTCACTTTTTATTAAATTTGTGGTTAAAATAATGTCATCAAGTTGAAACTGATTTTTAAACTTTTGGGAGGAAAATTTGCTAGGTCTAGTTTTAATACTTTTAAAAACGATCATAACGAGCTGTAGCCTTTTGATGGCACACCTCCTATATGTTACTGTGTCTTAGTTGATATATCTCTCGCTATATATACCTCCAAAACTTTCAATGTTTTATCTTTATAATATTATATCTTTTTGTAATGATTGTCAGTTGAGGTACAGTCATTAGGTTGATAGAGATTTTTCACATTTTGGACAACCTTGCAAAAACAGTCCGCTTTTCACTAGTCTCACCGCTTGTAAAAACTTTCATAAACAATTTTTGATTATTTTGTGCTGTTAATGTCTCTCTTTATGTGTCCCTCTTTATACGTTCTTCCGCTATACATATCTAGATTATCCAGCTCTCTATATCTAGCTTGTCTTTATACATCTCCTTTAAGTCTCAGTGCATCTTTCTGTATCTCTACATCTTCTTTTTTCTAATTGGACGTTAAGGTATCATCTGGTGACAGATTTTTTATACTTTGGGTAACTTTCACAAAGAGCCCGATCCTACACTAGCCGCACTACTTATAAAAACCATCATAAAGAACTCTTAACTGTATCAATAGGGTTGGTTCAAAATAATTAGGAGCGATAATTAAATGTTATACCTAGAAACAATAGCTGAATTGTTTTCATTGTCGTTAGCGGATTAACGGTACTATTCATATGTATAAACTGTTACTGTTTCTTTTTGAACAGTCGTTCACTAAGATAGGATACAAAATCGTCTATCTTCTACTGGAACCAAAATCCGAAAGGTGATAAACAACGTCTGTTCTATACAGAAACAAATATCAGACAGCGCGAAAAACAGTTCCTTTTGCTACGGAACAAAAATCAGAGAGAGCGAAAAACACGTCTGTTGTTTACGGCAACCAATATTCAAGAGGAGATTTTTTGTTTGCATTGTCCACGAATGTACCCACTTGGAAAGGGGTTAGAGTCAGGAGTAAGAGTTAGTACTAAAGGTTGGCCTAGGTAATGATTTTGATACTCTAGTTGGTAATTATAGGATTTGATACAGCGAAAAATACGATCTTGTGTTTTGTGTGTGAATAATTGAACACAATGTAAGATATTCTTAAACAAAGAATCGCGTCTCTTCTAATAATTGCATTATTTGTACTTTTTATTCATTACCAAACATGCCTGTGTCTTTTAGAATTTCAACTCTGGACTACACGTTATCATTTAATTTTTGGCGGGGAACATTAGTAGATTAGTAGTAGTAGCGAAATCAAGGTATGGTATTTTAATTATTTTTGACAACGTGCATTGTTAAATATTGTTGGGCTGCCTAAACATACCCCAACTAACAACAAGTAACCGAAACGAATTAGAAAAAAACGTTTCATACCACACTGAACTGATTTTGTTGCCTTCTACAAACTTTTTTTACGACTCTTTATACAAACTAACTCTTTATATCACACTCTATACTATGATCTTATCATAACTAACAATAAAAACACACCGCCCTTTCTGTAAAAGCTTTTATACATTTCTTTTTGTTAAAACTTTGAAAATAATTGTCATCCATTTTTCTGAAATTAGGTAGCTATATCTATTTCACTGTAGGTGTAAGTTGTATATATGCGCAATAATTGTAATAAGCTTGGAACAAAGTTTGCCATTGATGAAAACATATTTATAGTTAAAGCAATTTGTAGTTAAGGCAACTTTTAGAACTGAAATATTCACATACTTATCAAATTTTTTCTCTTAATTCTCCCAGTTTAGTGGTGAACAAACTTCATATATTTATTTGCCAGAATTGTTTTTCTTTGTGATAAAATATAGATAGTTTTGCTTTTAGTAGGTTATGTGAGGTTATATTTACCATCTCTGCTCCTTTCTTTTCTGTATAGCTACCTTGCATTAATACATATGCTTAGCCTTATGCTTTTATTCATTACAATCAGTAACTATTTGTGTTGAAAGGTTATTTTATGTTCAGTTTGTATTAGCAATATCTCAATTAAATGTCTATAACATTCTTGAATTGTCTTTTACTCTTATATTTCAAGAAAAGCAAGGAAGAATCAAAATTGCTTCCATTTCTTTTGTATACGGATATAATATAATTCCCATAAAGACCTTTCAAACATAGAACATGACTCTACTCGTTCACTATTCTTATATTCTTCTACCAACACTACTATCTACATAGAAGATTGGTAAATGCTAACTAGAGATGCAAAATATGTTTTTTTGTATCTGTAATTTATATTCCAGTTATAAAAGTTTCCAAAACTAACCATTTTATCGATATTAAGTCAATACTCAGTAAAAAATCAACAAATAACCGACGACCATGGCTTACTTTGTAACAAATTATATCTAAATGGTAAATATAAATCTTCGTAAATGTATGTAATGATGGAAAATACTCCCAGAAATTGAAGCATTTCAGGCATAATATAGGATTTATAGAGATTTTACTCATGTTAAATAAAAGTTTATTCCATTATATGAATTTTTCGACTATCCCTATATGGATGACCAAGATTTGTTTGTTATCGCGTATAGACAAACGTCCAGGACGTTTAAGTATACAAAATATTAGAGTACTAACGATCAAATTATGTATATCTTACATTCCAATACAACAGATATGTGCACCTTAGTATAAGAGAGTTTTGTACTGGACATAGTCAATCTAAACAAAAGATCACTAGGAAATCTGGCTTTCAATTCCTTCAATCTTTGTAAGCTTTTGTCAAACATTGTTTGCAAAACTTAAAATTAATTTTTACATATTTCAGTTATTTTATTTTCAAACATAATATCAATTTTCTTATTGTTTACACACTCAATCATTAGTTTAGTTCAACATAACCTCACAAAAACAATTTCAAATTTATCTTTTACAACAAACTGTGCAAAATCCTTAGACAAGGAAAGAGAGAGGACGGGTAACGCTCGTTCAACCAACCTTCAAAAAGTGATGCCACTTTTTGATGTGTCCGCCATTTTTTTGGTGGCAAACAATAGACCTGACACCATTTTTGTTTTTGTGGTTTTTTAAAAAAAGTGAATTAAATACCTATTTTTTTTACTTAACAAAATGGTGAATTGTGCATATATTCTTTGTAAAAATCGCAGTGAGCAGAAAACACCATGAATATCGTTTCATAGGTAAATATTTATAATAGTGCAATTAGGTATTAATTGATTTTACTTTCAATTTAACTTAGTGTTTTAAGGAAAGGTCAGATCTAAATTACTAAATAAGAATGCTAAATATGCATAGTTATTTCAGTAATTGTATTATAATTAATAATCATTTTACTCACACACCATGATGATTTACCAATGGCGATGTGCGTGAGGGTTAAACTTCCATAAAATATTC